TAGGAACTGAGGAACTGCAGTGCTGGAGCCACATTGGACCTGTGTGTTATCTAAGACTTGTATCCTGCTTCCAACAGTTATCAAAAACAGATGCTTCAGAAAACTGGGGAAGAAATCTCCACTAGCGATAATAACAGGATGGAAGTCTTTCTATCCTTATCACTTATACCCTTAAGCATGAGGGTTTGTATTTATCATACATATTTTTTAATGCTACGATATGTTTTCTCTGTGCGTGTCAATGTCTAACCCTTTTCAATGCTGTATAACCCACAGCCCTTCCCAATCCAAGCACCAGCATGGAGAAGTGAATGATTCTGTGCAACGGTAAGATGTAAAATAGAAGAGCTGTGGTATGAGCTGCATTTTAAAATGGAATTACACACAAAAAAAAGTTGAATGAGAGTGTAGCAGAAAGAGTGGGATGTTTTGAGAGTGCTTGTCCCCCAGTTTGAATGCTGCAGCCAGTACAGGCCATCAGCAAGTGGGCTGTGGGAGACGGGCGAGGCTGCAGCTCACCAAGCGTGGTATGCAGCAGGAGGCTAAAAAGAGGTAAAGTGGGTGAGAGAAACCATAAAGATCAGAGATGTCATCTCACATGAATACAAGTGTGCAACATATGGGGGATCACAAGCTCATTTCATTCCCTAACCATTTCTACTTATCCTGTTGTTAACTGTAACAGTTAACAACAGAGAATTGTTTTGGTGCATTTGTTCTGTTTATTTTCTATCTGTATTTTCTTACCCTTACCTCATTTAAAATTGATGAACACACTATTTAAGCTTTCACCATAAAGAGCAGCCAATTAAAAAAACCATTGTGAGGTAGTACTAGTAGGCAGTTGTATGAAACAAAGTCTAAATATATTTGTTTGCTCCATAATTTTTTTTCATGTGAATTAGAAAATAGGGAAAACACTACACTATTAGCTAATTTTCAAATGAGATTGGTTTTGTTTCCAATTTTGTTTCCAATTTTGTTTCCAATTTTTCCAAGATTAAAAAATGGTCACACCAAGTTGTTTATTATTATTACTTGCAATCAAAATCCATTTTAATTTATAAATGTCACGAATATTTCAAAGTGATGTGCAAAGGTAGGAGCAATCCTAAGACTGCATGAAAATTTCAGGTACTTTTCTTCTGCAGTGTTTAATACACAAAACACATAGACAAATCAGACGATGCCAGTAGCCTGAATGCTGGATTATATATCACTAGCTCACAGGGATGTAATTAATACTTGTCACTAGGCAGGTAAACAAGTCTGGATTATGCCTGGCTGCTTGAGAGAAACAGTGTCTTGCCTGGCTGGCTTCATTCAGTCGCAGAAGAGCAGAGGGAAGGAAGGTACAACCCTGACCATATGCTGCCCAGTCTTACTTGATGGTTCATACAGCGGGTGAGATCTGAAAAATATGTTCAGCCCTGGGAGTTTAGGATTCCCAATCCCCAGAATTTCTTACCACCAAGCTTAGATGGCTCCTCCCTCAGTAGCTCAGGGTTCTTTTGAGCTCACGTTGTCACTGAGATGCCCAAAGTATTTGAGTGTTTGTAGGGCTTTGTTTTGAGTCCTGGAGTTTGCTCTGGGAGTCAACTAGGAAAAGTGAAACATAGCACCAGCAAAGTCCATTTGTGGATCTGGGCCTATACTCATATATTTACAGTCACCTCATGCATTTGAGGTGGCTCAAAGCCTCTCAATTACAGGCACAGGTTAATTTTGTTTAGTCATGACTGACCCACAATCGCATTTTGTTATGGAAAGCAGAGGAGAGACAGAACTTGGAAGGAGAAGTAGAATGGGGAAAGATCCAGAAAGCTGGGATTTATGGTAGTGTGATGGGTCTGCAAGACACTGGTCTGTTCCTTGGTGGCTGACAGTAGTGGGAGCAGGTAGGCAGAGCTACATCTGAAGTAATTTATGTGCCTTTTTCTCTTCCTTTCTTCCAGTTTGTTGCCATAAGCAACTGGATATTTTGTCTACATCTAGCAGCAAGAGTAGAGTCACTGTGAAAGCTCTAAGGAGACCTATGAAAATAACCAAGCAATGAATAATTCATGACATGCTGGAATTATTTTAATTGATTTCATGATATGCTGTTTAGTATTAAGTGAAGTGTATCTCCTCCAAAGGAAGTCTGTTTTCCTTTGTTATTAATTTTTTAGCTTTTGTGTAAAATGACTGGGCTTTCCTCTTTTCAATCTTTATAAAATAATAAAAAAAGGCTTTTATCTTCCCTGTGCATCTAGGAAGAGGTCTTTTAATCAGTTAAGAACAGTAAGTTCCCACCTTCACAAACGCTGGCTCTTTACCTGGTAAATTTAAAATGAAGCATTTCTGATCACTTTTGATGGTGTGCTTAGACTGGTGTGAGTCTGTGGGCTGTGTCTGCAGTATTCATATGCAGCATTTTGGGGAGTTCCTGGACATATCCATATGCAGCAACAGAGATCTTGGAAGTACAGATGCCCACAGAGAGACTGTTTGGGCACAGCAGAAGCCATTCTTGCTGCTCACTGTCCTAATGGTACATACTCCTTTAACTCTCTGTGGTTGAGCATGTGGGGTCCTGAAATTCAGAGGTACATCTTCTTATCTTGCTGCTCAATTTTCAGAAGACATCATTAATGTGATAGCCAACATCTATCAAGTAGTGTAACTTCTGAGCAGCTTCTGTAAAGTGAATTTAAATGCTCTGTGGATATGTCTGGTAATTTCAGAAATGCAAAGCTACATTAGAAATCCTTAATGCAGGACAGATGCATAACTCTCGCTTCTAGTCAACCTTTCTACTTGTGGTATAAGCAAAAGTCGCATATTCATGAAACACAAAGCACAGTTCAGTGTTGTCATTTGACCTTGTAACAGTCAAATCTGGATAGTAATCTCGGTTGTGCCTCTCAGGATATAAGCTACTATCCATAAGGATATTCTTCATGCATGCTGTGAAGTATAGAATAGCAGCCATTCTGCAGCTATACTCCCCCTTCCAGGCAGACTCCTTAGCAGGAGACAGCAACAGGTAGCTTGCTGGGAGAGATTCACACTGCCTCTTTTATTGTCACTATGAACTGCAATGAGAGTCAGGATTCAGGCTTCCTATACTCTATTTGTCTCAATGAAGTGAAGAAAAATGTGGTAAAGAACAGAAGATGGTTAAACCCACAGCTTCTCCAACACAGTGATTCAATATAGCTGTTTAGTCATTGACATACTGTTCTTCGCTTTCTCCTACACATTATTATGAGGGAAAAAAGTCATTAGTAATCACTGGATTAACTTCTCTCTGGGCCAAGGGACAATTGCTTTTTGTTACTGAAAACTATTGAGTATTGTGCCTTTGTTTTGAGATTTCCTTCCTCTCCTATGCATTATGACTGAATGAAGGTTTACTCCTAAAGATCATTTTAAACTGTAATAACATGGTAGGCACATTTCCCCCCTGAACTACAGTGACAGATTGACACTGGGAGGTCATACTTGGCCGAGTGTAAATTACAGACTCCACCTTATGCATTTGAATTACAAGTTCCTGTGGCAACTCACAAGTTGTAAAGGACCAAGTGCAGTGGGACACAGAGCAGCCCCAGTCTGGTGCACAGTACACAGAGGCTCAGAGTTTGACAGTAGGAGGGACATCTAGCTGTCTTCTGCTTGGCCAGTAAGATCTCTTACTTGACATGTCACCTGCAATACATGATAGAGCAAAATATAACACCACCTTAAATAAAAATGGGAGGAAGCAATAGCCTCCTCACATTAAATTACTTTCCAGGGGGCAGTGGAGATTAGGAGAAATCACAACTGATGCACACTATTTTTATGTTTTAATGTGATGTTCAGCAGCACTGCCAAAGCAAGCATTCAGAAATTCTGAATCTCATCCAGAAAGTTTGATATGACCCTGAAAATCAGGATAGTTCAAATAATTAACACAAGTGGCTCTTTATTTCTTTTCCTGGGTTCAAATCATTACCATTCAACTCCAGTTTTTCTAGCATGGAGCTTGTAGAAGTACAAAAGGCTTATGGAAAACAGAAAGTGCTGTGAGAGCTGGTGGCCAGTGGCCACCGTGCTGGGATCACCCTGACGGTCTCAGCAGCCTCCACCAGCAGCAACTTGTGTTTGTAGGGCTTTGTTTTGAGTCCTGGAGTTTGCTCTGGGAGTCAACTAGGAAAAGTGAAACATAGCACCAGCAAAGTCCATTTGTGGATCTGGGCCTATACTCATATATTTACAGTCACCTCATGCATTTGAGGTGGCTCAAAGCCTCTCAGAATTACAGGCACAGGTTAATTTTGTTTAGCCATGACTGACCCACAATCACATTCTGTTATGGAAAGCAGAGAAGAGACAGAACTTGGAACGAGAAGTAGAATGGGGAAAGATCCAGAAAGCTGGGATTTATGGTGTAGACACTGGTCTGTTGCTTGGTGGCTGACAGTAGTGAGAGCAGGTAGACAGAGCTACATCTGAAGTAATTTATGTGCCTTTTTCTCTTCCTTTCTTCCAGTTTGCTGCCATAAGCAACTGGATATTTTGTCTACATCTAGCAGCAAGAGTAGAGTCACTGTGAAGGCTCTAAGGAGACGTATGAAAATAACTTGGCTGTCCGAGTGTTTTTGGTGTGGGAAGGAAACACGGGGACCGGCAGAAGTCACGCCGATGCTGCCGAGGCCCGGCGGCTGCAGGCCCGGCCCAGGGGGCCCGCGGGACGGACACGCCGGGGCCGCTCCTCGAGGCTCCCGCGCTGCGGGGGCAGCGCCCTCGGGACGGGGAGCCGGGGCCCGTGGAAAGCCGGGGAGGCGGGTTGGATGTCGACCGACACGAGAAGGCCAGAGCGGGACCGGAGCGATGGACAGCACCACCCGGGTGTGCGGGCAGGGCAGGGCAGGGCAGGGCGCGGAGCTCCCCCTGCACGGCCCCGCCCCGGCCCCCGCGGGGCGGTGAGAGCGGCCGGGCAGCCCCGGCGGCCGCCTCCTCCTCTGGCAGCGGCAGCGCGGGGAAGGACCGCAGCTAGAGGGAGCTGCTCCGGACCGCGTCTGCCCGTGCGCCCCTGTTCTTTCACAGGCTCCCCCGCCCCTCCCCTCCCTCCTTCCCCCGTGATGGCGGAGGACAGCGAGTCCGCGGCCAGCCAGCAGAGCCTGGAGCTGGATGACCAGGACACCTGCGGCATAGACGGCGACAATGAGGAGGAGACCGAGCACGCCAAGGGGTAGGGGCGCACTGGGCGGGCGGGCACGGCTCGGGGAGACAGCGCCGTGTCCGCCGCCGCGGCAGCGGCCGGGCTGGCGGTGGCCGGGCCGGGCTCCCCCGGTGCCCGGAGCGGCCCCTCGGCGGGGCGGGGGCCGGGCGGTCCTGCCCGCCTGGGGCGGCCTGCGCGGCCCGGCCCGGCCCGGCTGCTCCGCGGCGCCTGCGCTGGGCCAACTGCGGCCGAGCGGCCCCTGCCCGGGCCGCCTCCCGCCGCAGCGAGCGGGTGTGGGACGGCCTCGCGCCCCTCTGGGGGTAAGGGGAGAGGCGGGGGGCCGAGCCCCGGCCCGTGGTGAGGGGGCGGCGGGACTGGCGCTTTCCCGCCGGACCCGGCCTTGAAATTGTGTCGTGAAAGGGAGGGTGAATCCTGCCTCGTTGTCGGCGCTTCAGGGCTTGGGGGCGTTTCTGGGTATTTTTGGCCGTCAAGGAAACCCCCCTCCCCCGCCTCCCCGTAGCGGGGGAGATGCCCCCGTGCCCCTCGCTCGTTCCGGGTGGTTCCAGCCGAGCGGCTCCGCGCACATCCACAGTCACATCCACCCCCCGCTCCCCTCCCGGCCGGAGACCTGTCCGGGCATCGCCTGTGTCAGCCCGCCCTGCAGACACTCCTCCTCGCCGTCACCCATTGTCCACAAGGAGATGGTACCTTCAGATCCAGACGCTGTGGAGAGCAGAGTGTGTGTTTTACCGCGGCATTAGCCGGGGCAAACGCTGTTGTCTGGTTGTAGTTCCATCTCTGCTAATCTTGCGTCTTAAATCTTCCCACGCTGTGGATCAGGCGGTGTCTCCAGTTGCCTGGGGAGCTGACAGGAGAGGCATCCGGCATAGATGCGGCCCCTGGCACCCGAAAGCTTTGGGCTGCCTGCAGTATAGTCTGTCCGGGCGCAAGGTGCCAAAGGTCTGGCTTGCTTTGCGGGCTTTCGGGGCTGGGAAGTGGAAGGAACGTGTTTTAAGAGTCGACTTCATTTAAATTTACTTCTTTTGCTTTTTTGAGAGGTTAAGAAAACGTGATTGCAGAGAAAGTGCTTTGTTGTCGCAACTAGGAGTGGCTGGAGTAACCCAAAATAGAACTAGGTTAATCTATACGCTGCTACACAAATATCTTCCTCGTGAATTTCTGATTGATCTGGTTGAGAGCCTTCCTGTAGGTGCTTGATGTTTGAGGATGTACTCTGTTTGTTGTCTTCTGTCCCTAGGATTTGCTTGGCAAACATGCAGCACTGCATCTTAAATGTGGCAAGGGAAATCTGAGAGACTTAGGGGAACGGACTTGTCAAAAAGGCAGAAAAGTGGAAAACTTTGATGCTTGCAGTTCTGTCATTGAATTAATGGCATGCACACTGAAATAGTTGTGTCAGAAATAATTACAGTAGTATGAATCTGGGATATTAAAAAGGGATAAAATAGTGTTTAATTATGTTAGAGCTTTTGTTACACTTTTTTGAGTAAATATATCACCATTGATGATTCATGAATATGTAGAAGTTAAGAGCAGAGAGTTGTTATTTACTGCTCTTCATAGGAGCCAACCTGATGTCCTTGATGATATTGTTTGATAGCCATATGATGCCTGTCTGGAATTCATTCGGACCATATTCCTACTTCAGTTTTTGTCCTGTTTGTTTGTGTGCATGCCCGGGCTGTAGCTGCCCTCTGCAGTGCTGCTGTGTGCTCGGGCTGCTGTGACAGTGAGCGCAGTGTGTGAGAAGCAGCCAGGGAACAAAGAATTGCACTTCAGTGTGTTCCCGATTGCAGCTTGTGCTCTGCTCCAACTTGGGTTTCCCTGAGCTCTGAGGGATGGCAGCTGTGGGCTGTGTGCCCTTCTCCCTGAAACTTGTTTGTGTTGTATATCCTAAATGTACTTTAGTGAATATTTCAGAAAAACCTGTGTTATTCATCTTTAAATAAGAAGGTGAATACTTACAAGTAATATGAAGTTTAGTTAAATTAATGGTAGATCATTCCAGTAGGAAAAGCCTCTTAAGTATTAGTATCTGCTGCATGAAGTTAATATTGACTTTTGAATTACTTTATTTTCCTGTAATCACTGAAAATCTTGTTTGCTACTCTTTGTCTAGAGGCTGAAATATTCAAACAAATTTCAGCAAATGAAAGTAAAAATCTTACAGTACAGCAAACCCAAAGATCTCCTCTTGATATGGGAGAATAACCAATGGTAATAGGAGCCTAATTATTCCCTGTTTTCACCCTATTATCATATAGTAATTTTTGAGGTCACTTTAAAGTTTGCTTTGAGCTTTTAGATTAAGTTTTCTATACCTCAGCATTTTATGAACAGTCCTACTACTTGAGACTACCTATGACTGTGTCAACTGACTTGCTAAATTCTGAGTGGTCTCCATTGCTGCTGATCAGTATTTAATCTCATGCTATTTTAACCCTCATTTTTTAGAAAAAGGTAGAATATGTGTTGTGTGTCAGTCTCTAGTAGGATTGCATTATAAATTAAGTCACTTTCAGGATGTTTCTTGACATCTGAAAGTAGATCCTTAGAATACTTACCACAGGAAAACATAGTTTGTGTATATGTATATATATATATATATATCAGGATGTTTCTTGACATCTGAAAGTAGATCCTTAGAATACTTACCACAGGAAAACATAGTTTGTGTATATGTATATATATATATATATATGACTTTCTTTTTTAAAAGTTTGCAGGTTTCTTATGTGCTTGAACACTGAATGAGTGCAGCAGAAAATACCACTTTATAGCTCTCAACTGTGCAAATGTCTTTGTCCTCTGATTCTGCTCCTGTTTTTTAGATGCAGGATTATGTATGTTGTGTGACTCATTGCTGTTTTCCTATTCTGTGTCTGCAGCTTGCTCCTGCTAGATGCATTATGCTGTATTTGTTCTGTTTTATAATAAAGTGTTGTTTACAAAATATCTTTGTTAGTGTGTATGTAGAAAAAATGTATTTGTTGCACCTGAATCCACCCTGCTGAGCTCAGTCTTGTAAGGTCTTTCAGTTCATTCTAAATAGCTCCTTATGCTCAATGCCAGAAAGGCCTTGGGCACAGAACATTTAGTAAACAGATGAGGAAAAGGTATGACCTTTAAAAAACTCCCCCAACCCTCACAAATTATTTAGTTTGAATGTTTTAGCAGTATACCCCTATGATTATTGTTAAAAAGATGCCAACTTTATAACCAGGGTTACTTTTAGATTTAAAAAAGGAACAAATATTTTTAAGGTACTGGAAGCAGTGCTTAGTTTTAGCAGGCAAGATTTACATCTTGGAGTAGAGCCTTACAGACTTGGAGCAGGAGGCAAAGGAAACACCCAGATCTTTAAGGAATATCTCTTGGGTTAGGTTTTAAGGTATTGGTACTGGATTCTCATGCTCAAAACCCTTGCCTTTTTAAGTATTGAAATATATGCAAATGAAATCTTCATCCACAGAGATTAGTAGTAATAGCAGTTTATTAGTAAGTGGAATTTGAAGGACATAAGCCCTTCTGGTCAGGACCTTTCTATTCTCTTGAAGTGGTAGTAGTCTTACATAGCAAGGGGAAAGTCCTTTGCACCTAAACCTCCATTTTCTTTATGAACCAAGGACAGCTCTAGTATAAATAATACTGCTTTGAAATTTTTTGGAGTCTTGCCCGTATACATGAGATCTGATTTTTATGATCAAAAAGATCTATGTAACATCTTCAGAAATGTAACTTTGCAACCTCACTTACAGAGAAGTACTGTGAAGGCAAGAACCTCTGCAGTTTAAAAATAAACATCGAAGTACATGTTTGGTTTTGAATCTGAGAAATTGCTAACTTACATTCCAAGTAACTTAAAACAGATGTTGATATTACAAAAAGCTGTTTCTGCTAAAGCAAAATTTAGTGGTCAAAAAGGCAGTTAAAATAACATTGACAGTTATTCAGTGGAATAGATAATCTCAAATGAAAACCAAGGGAGCCAAATAAGTCTTACTGCCTAAGCAGAGTAATTGTCACACCCCTCCTGATTCTTCCATCTCACCTTTTCATTGGTTTGCTCTGAGCTTCATGAAGTATCTCTGCCTTTGCCACACTTCTCCTCAAATGCAGCAAGTATCCCCATTTTTCTGTTTTAAAAAACCAAAACCGAAACACCACCACATGCAGGGAGAAGCAAAAGTCTTTTCTTTTTCACGTCTATGCAAAACACCAGATGTGTGTACATAAGTGGAAAGGTGTGTGGGTGTGATCATGGGCTTGCATTTGTAACTTGCAGACAAAATCATAAAACTGTAGGCCTCAGTGACGGTCTCGGAGTCCTATCCACAGCCTGTTTCTGGAGCAAGTTAAAGTCTTTTGGGGGCAGAATGAGGTCTTCTGACCCTTCTTTTGCCTCAGCTCAATTTTGATTTGCATATCACTTTTGTGCTGGTGTCACTTTTTTCTTGTCCATCAGACTGACAAAATTGTCATTGTGGGTGCAGTTAAAAATATCTCAGATCACCTTTGTGCTTAGGTACACCAGGACCTCAGTGTGTAGCCTCACCCTCCAGTCAGTAAAGTTTTCCTGGTATATGCTTGTCTCTGACACAGTCAAAAATCTTCCCCAACTCTAATGTTGAATGATTTTCTCTGTATAACAACCTGTGGTGTATGTGATGTGCTGGTCCTGAGCTCCAAGTTGTGTCACTTTAACAGTTGCAGGTTAGTTTGGAAAAAGAGATTTCATGCTTAAAAGTCAGTTTTCTAGAAATGGGAAACTTTTTTCTCCCCAAACTTCCAAGAGTGAGATACACTTCAAAGTGTCATCATACAGGTTTATCTGACCAGACAAAGGAGAACTCAGATCTTAGTCAGCATAGAAGAATGTTTAAGTCAGAGAAGAGCTTTTAATAGGAAGTTTTGATTTGAATCTTGTTACCTTTGCATATCCTTTGTGCTGTCGTGTCCAGCGTAATTCGTATAGGCTGAACAATGGAAGTTCCTTCCTTCCCAGTCATTCTCACTCCCAGTTTTAGAGCCTCTCAGATCTATTCAAAGCAGATCATGAGAAGGACAAAAAATTCTGAGGTGTTTTGTTTTGCTTCTGCCCTAATTTGCTTGGTATCTATGCAACTTGTGCTGGACAAACCTCTTTACTGCTTAGAAGTTTCTGCATGCTGCCTGCCACCAAATCTCTGGGTTACAGGTGTGCCTAAGTAGTAGGATGAGTAGAACTCTGTTTAAGTCCTCTTTTTACATTTTGTATACTGTAACAGTAAAACAGGACTGACCCAAGCAGGAGACTGCGTAAGTAACTACTCTGAACAGTCCCTGGATAACCTGTCAGACAAAGATACCAGTATTTATTTTGCAAGAAACAGTGTGAAAGCATGAAACCTGAAGGTCATAAACCAAAGACTGGGATTTTAGAAGATCTGAAGAAACAAAAAAAAGAGTAGTTTTGAATGCCATATATATTTTACATCAATTTAGTACTGTCTTCCCTTTTCCCCAGCTAAAGAATGTGCATTTCTATATGAAAAAGACCTTGAATTGATCAAAGAACAAACTAAAATTATCCTGGTAAAAGTACAGTTTGACTGGGGATAATATTAGTAAAGCTTGGCAAAACTCATTTTTCTTCATAGCTGCCAACCTTTTTTTTCTAGTACAATTGTTCATTATTTCACCAAACTAAATAAAACATTGACCCTCAGGTAATCCTAGTGAGCAGAATTCCCCTGTGATGTAAGTGGCCCAGCTCCTTCTGAAAGACAAGAGAAGTGAGCTGCACTGGTGCAACTCAGGGAGCAGTGCCTGCTGAGAGCCTCTGCTCAACGGTGTTTGCTGAAACTCCTGGTGTTCAACACAAAAGCTCTCGGGAGTCAGCTCAAGGACACAGTAGCATCATTTGTTTCCTATATGTGAGATTTTAGAGGGAAGGATGAAAGTTTGTGGATAGTTCCAGAAAGTAGAAAAATACATCATTAAATGAATCTTAGTGAGGGTAAAATCACTTTCCCTCATATTTTTATCTCAGTTTTACCACATAGAGGTGGTGAAGTCTTAGGTCTTATACTTGTGTGGGTTTTTAACTGTTTTGTATTTATAAGCTCTTGCTAGGCTTCTGGGTCTGTTCTTGTTTAAATTCTGAAGAAAATGTCAGCTTGGTATACAGGCATTTAGATAGATTTAAATTTTATTGTTTTAAACTGAAAGCCAGCAGCGTGCCCAGGTGGCCAAGAAAATCAGTGGCATCCTGGCTTGTATCAGACATAGTGTGGCCAGTAGGACTAGGACAGTGGTCGTCCCTCTGTACTGGGTTCAGTTTTGAGCCCTTCACTGGGCTCAAAACTGGTTCTGGAACATGTGTAGAGAAGGACAGTGAAGCTGGTGAAGGGTCTGGAGCACAAGTCCTGTGAGGATCAGCCGAGGGAGCAGGAGTTGTTCAGCCTGGAGAAGAGGAGGTTTGGGGCACCTTATCACTCCCTACAGCTACCTGAAAGGAAATTGTAGACAGGTGGGGGTCAGTCTCTTCTCTCAGGTAACAAATGACAAGAGAAAATGGCCAAAGTTGCACCGGGGGAGGTTTAGATTGGATAGTAGGAAAAACTTTTTCACTGAAGCGATTGTTGAGCACTGGAACAGGCTCCTCAGGGAGTCACCATCCCTGGGAGTATTTAAAAGATACATAGATGTGGCACTGAGGAACATGGTTGAGTGGTGGGTAATGGTGGGTTAATGTTGGACTTAATGATCTTAAAGGACTTTTCCAACCTAAGCAATTCTGTGTTCCTCTGAAATTGTTAACAAATCATGTAGGTGATAAGGCAGTATCTTCATTCTGCAACAAAAGATTTTCTCCCTGTGTCACTTATGCAAGTTCATCTTTTTTTTTTTCTGAAGCCTTCCAGTAAATACTACAAACTCTTCTATCCTGTGTGTTTCGTCTGCTGTACTGTTTTCCACTGAGTAACTCCTTGGTCCTGTCCCAGAGGCTGCTGTATTTACAACTCTCTCTTTCCAAAGTTACATCCCAGTGTAACTTTGAATGTTAAGGACTCCTTGGGATTGATCTTTCGCTACAGTCTGTTCTATAGTACAGTAATGATCACTCAAAAACGAGTCTTTGTGTAGTTGTATTGTTTGATTAATTGTAGGCTTTTGGCCTCTCTACTGGAGGGAGGGTGTTTTCTTGCCAGTTTCAGCTCTGACAAAGTAGAGATGCTACAACTGGGCATCATAATCTTGAAAGTGAGCATGTTCCATGGCCCTTGCAAATGTGTGGATCTTAATGTCTTTAGTTATTCTTTTATTTCTGTTTGTTTGTCAGCATGATATCTGGGGGGTTTCCCTCTCCAGGATTAAAATGAACAGTTATTTTTTTCTTTTTCAGTGAAAAACACCCAACCCCCTCAAACTCCAATATCTCTCTTGAGTTCCATTATGTACATGTGGTTTTGCTGAGAGATTAAGCTCTTGAAGGGGATTTGGTGTTAACTGACTCATTGCCTCCTTATTTTCGTTCTGTCTGATAGTTGCCAACACATCCCACACTTTGCAAATCTAATCTTGATTCTATATCTTGATTATTTGTCAAATTAGAATCTTAAAGAAAAAAGAACTTGTATTATTAATAGGCAAAGTATGTCAGAATCTACAAGTGCAATGTTTACTTTGTTGTTGGGTTTTTTTAATTAAAGTTTACTGCACTGTCTTTATTGTTTGAAATCACAAATGTTTGGTTAGTTTTGTGTTGTTTCTTACTGAGATTTCAGTAAGACTTTCATCGCTACTTATGTTAGGAACAAAATTTCCTGAAAACAGAATGTTTTCATCTCATCCGGATTCATGTCAAATTTAGATGTGCCTGATGGTTGAGTATGAAAGGGGAAAAGTATTGGGCCGCTAATAGTTACTGAATTTCCAAAGAAGTTACTTTCCTCAGTTCCCACACTTTCCTGTGTTCCTCCAAACTCTGTTGACTTCAGTCATTTCATGTTTGTGTTGGGTAATAGCCTGGAGAAGAGCACTGGCAGGTATATAGTGTCACAGTTTGACATTAGTATGTCAGAATGCCTGGTTGTGCTGGTGTCTGAGTATAAAACAAACTAGACAGCACTTGCAGGAAGCTTTTCATCACTGCTTTCAGTTCCCCCCTTCCTTCCTTTCTCCTACCTTTTCTTCACATTGGAACTGCTGTTAGATTTTTCATATTAAAATGCTGGGTTTTCCATATTTAACTATTTTAAAATTTAGGCTCAGTGGTACTGATTTTTCTCACTGCGCATTCTCTGAATCTCTGGCAGAAGTCCTGGAGGGGATTTGGGAGCGAAGAAGAAGAAAAAGAAGCAGAAGAGAAAAAAGGAGAAACCAAATTCTGGAGGCACCAAATCAGATTCTGCATCTGACTCCCAGGAGATTAAAATTCAACAGCCTTCAAAAGTGAGAGCCTGGTTCTGTTTTAATTTGTGCTTGCTTCCTAATTTAATTTCAATTCGCGCATTGCTTGTTCTAAAAGCAAGGTGATAGTTCTGCCTTAACACATCAGATTTGAGCAAATGGTTCCTGTCCTGAGCAGAAACAGAAGCTGGACAAGACCTGGTGTTTGCAGACTGTGTGAAGTGAGCTGGAGAGCTGTCGTCACCACCATGGTGGTGAGCTGTGAGAAAGGCAGAGGAGGAGATGTTTTGTCTTTCTTTTCCAGCAGTTAGAACTCAGGCTAGTGACAGCCTCGTTGCATGCAGTCTTAATCTGCAGTAGTAGTGCTTTTAAATTTCGTGTTTGATGAATAGCCTTTACTTTAGCCACCATGGCTATACTTCAGACCTGGCTTAGTGAAATTTCGGTAACTTGTACGGCACAGTGCTGTCTCAGCAGCAGCAGTAGCAGGAGGAAGGTGGACCTGCTGTGCCAGCCAGAGTCTTATTTGGGCAAGTAAGCAGCATGTCAGTATATATAAAATGTGGTAATCTCAAACATGCAGATACAGGCTGAAGAAACGTTTTGCCATCTGAAAGGCCTCTGCTATAAATAAGAATGCAAAATTATCTGAGAGGATGCACAGTCCTTGTGGACTTTGTGGTAAAATAGCATTGTCTATGTGCTTTTGTCTACCGTGTTCTGAATGAGCAGTGAATGACATGATTTGGTGTCTTTTTAGCATACAGCTTTTATCTCAAGAGAAATCTGAGTTTGAGAACTGAAGTTTGTAAGACTAAAAAAGTTTATGGACCACTGAGCATGTTGAAATAGTTCTATTTGCTTTGTCAAGTTAATGTGTAGAGTGTTACACCATCGTACCAGTAGCAATCTTCATCCTGTAAGATTTGTCGGTTACATTGTGGGGCTACCAGCTAATTTTAGGGGGAAAAAGTTGTGTGGCTCATTAACATACTGGAAGATTCTTGTGTTGTCTCTAGATCTTCTCTGTGTCCCCCTGATTACTTTGAATAGACACATTTGGCACAGGGGACACTTTAAATATATATAGATCTTAAATACTTTCTGATTTCACTGCATGTTTTGGACAACTATCCTGCTTTAGATTTTTTTGAAAGAATCGTAGACTGCTGATCTGGCTCAGTGTAGAAAAGTATATTTTTTTTCTCTGCTACTCAAGTAATATTTAGATTTTGTATTCCTTCTGCTATGTGAGATATAGGGGAAAGAAGGCTTGTAGCATTTGCTTGCTCTTGGTTGAAAAGAGCTTTAGAAAATATTTCAGAGAAAAGTGACATTGTACACCTACCTCTAAGAGAATATATACAGGATCATCATGTAATACTCAGTGGGGCTCCTGAACTCGTTGAAAATGATTTTGAAAAAAGATTTTGAGGTCATGTGAGTTTGTAAACAGGTGTATCAGTTTGGACATTAGGAAAACAGAACAGTGAGTCTCCTTGGCTTCTCCCTTTCTTATGTGTGATATTAGACATTTTGAGCACTGATGTGAGCGTAACCACAGCAATAAATGCTTGTTGTTAGCACTGTATGTTTACAGTGACTTTGAGGACACTTCACTGCCCATCTAAAAAGATTTTGATCACTCTCTATTTATTACAAGTACCAGTGATGTGGACTCTCCACATTGACACGAAGGAAGCTTGCCATATCTGCAGTATTATCAGTCATTATTTTAGTCACCACTGGCCTAAACAACATAGTCCTGAAATAACAGGTCTTTCAACTGACCTCCTGCTTAGAGCAGACCCAACTAGATGAAGTTGTTCAGGCCTAGATCAGTCAGTTTAGTCTCCAAGGAGACTCAACAACCTTTTTTGGAAACCTATTCCAGTGTTTGACTACACTTTTTGTTGAAAAAAATAGTAATTCCTTGTATCTAAATGGATTTTGCATTTTTGCAACTTGTCTCCATTGTTTCTTGTCCTATCATTATGCTCCTCTGAAAAGATTTGGCTCAGCTTTCTTTACATCCTTCCATTAGGCAATAATAAGATTTCTCTTACTTCCTCAATCTTCTTAAGGTTAAACAAACCAAGGTGTCTTGTCTTCTTGTGTGTCATGTGCTTCAGCCCCCCATTAATCTTGGTGGCCCTCAAATGAACACTCTACACTCTTACAATGTTTTCCTTGTAATGGAGAACATTTCCTTTTAATGGAAACTGTAAGATGAGACCTAAGGGTTGCCAATAAAGGGGAAAACTTGCTGCCCAGTCTTACAGGTACGACTCACTATTAAACTGTCCTTTCCTGGCCAGCAGATTGCTGGCTCATGTTCAGCCCTTTGCCCACCAGGACCTCCAGGTTCTTTTCTGCAAAGCTGCTACCTAGCCAGTCCTCTGCCTTTGCATGAGCTTTTTCTATCCCAGATGGAGGACTTTGCATTTGCCTTTGTCAAAATTAATTAAGTTTCTCTTTCCAACCTGTCAGAGTAACTTTGAATAGCAGCTCTGTGGTCCAGCGTATCAACATTTCTTGCCAAGCAGGTATCATCTGTGTACTTGCAGAGAAAGCGCTCTTTGTCATATCATTAAATAGTATTGACCTCTACATCCTCAAAATCCTTCCCCTTGCCTTCTTGAAAATGGGTGTTTCCTTTTTTCCATTTGTAGGAAACCTCCACCACTTACTATAACCTTTAACTCTTGACACATGTTAGTTGCACTAACATCAGACAGCTCCCTCAGCACCCTCACGTGCATCTGGCCTGTTTTGGGGGACCTGCGCATGATTTGTTTGCTAAATGGTCCCTAACTTTCTCTCCTGCTGTGGTTAATGGAAGTCTCACAGACTGTGCTACAGGGCTGGGGGACATCAAAGGCCTGAGGTCACATCTTGCCACCAAAACTGAGGCAAAAACGTCATTGTGTACCTCAGCCGTGTTGCACAACAGTGCCGTTTTGTGCTATGAGGAGATATTTGTCCTAAACTGAAATTACACAAAATACCTCTTTTTTTTGCTAATTCATGTCAAGTTCTGTGTAGGTTTTTCTTGCTTTCGATTAAAGGAAAACAAAAAGGGTTGAAAGTAAACTTCTTAGCCAGGCTGATCCCTGAACTTTTTAAACAAAAAGGGGATTCCTCCTGATGTCCCTAACAGTGTTGTATTTAGTACCAGAACACGAACTTCTTACTTTACTATTATGCTAGTGCAATCTTTCTTGGAACCTAATATTTTAATTTTTTTTTAGATTTCCTGTTTTCTTAATGTAGAAAAAACAAATCAATTACAGTGTGTCAACATTTAGGTGTGATTTCATAAGGTATTAATAAGATTTCAGAATTTATCCAGTGGCATTAGAACTATTGGTGTCAGGTCAGTGTATAACAGACAAATTGATTTTTAATTGGGAAAAGTAACTTATGTCTCTGTAGTCTGGATATAGAAATACAGTAGGCTTTTCATGCTGCAGCAGTGTTGCTCTAAACTATGTTAGTAAGTTAATTCACAAATACTCAGGTGACAAGTGTTTAAAGCATGCTTACGGGTAAAATTTTGCAATACTTAAACATTATGCATTTTCTTTCATTACTTTAAGTAAATTAAGATTTTATTATAAATAGTAAATGATGGACTGCTTGAGCTCCAGGCACAGACTGCTTTTGTGACAAAGGATACTAGAGGCAGATGTCCACCCAAACGAAGCTTTACTGTCATTATTACATTTAATTTATGGTGGTTTTTCAACACATGAATACTAGAAAGAAATATGGAAATAGCAATCCATTGCTATTCAGTAAAAAAAAATCTGGCTTGAAATCTCTATGCAGAATTGCTTAGAATTTCCCAATGGACTTGAGACTATTTCTTCAAATGCATTATTGCACTGCAGTGTTGGGAAACTGAGCACAAGCATTCTGTTAGTATACCTCAGAATAGGACTTACCACTTGGCAGATAACAAAACACAACAAGTAAATAGCTTTTAAAAGACGGGAGAAAATCCCTGTAGATTCTGTTACCATTATTCTTCTGTACTTTCTTATGCAGGTAAAATTCTCATTCCAGTTGCAGTTAGTCAGAGTGATCAAAAGTGAGGGTTTAACAGCTTAGTTTACAAACACTTAGTCTTAGGTTTATGCTTTTCAGATAACTTTTCTATAAAGATTTTTCAACTTCTAAGTGGAAAGTTGGTTTATTTTATGTTTGTCAGTTAAAATGGGAGTGATTGGGAGTGTTGGCACACTTGACATTAGTGGCAAGATGGTTAACTCCTACACATATGATGCGGAAAGGTATCTAATAATTGCAAGGTAATAAAGGCAGATGCAATATAACTAAGGTTAAAACGTGGCACTCCAGTGTACTTGGGTACTACTGAGCCATAGTGAATTTAAATATTATTTTATATTGTATGTGTAAACTACAACTTCAAACAGCTCCATGTGTTCCAATGGTATCTTTAGATTTTTATATATCTAAGCTGACCTGCTTCTTTTTGTTTTATTGTATTTTACTAGAGGGAACAGGGACTATAAGAAGCTCTTACTATTGTGATACTGTATCCTGTCTTGATGCTGCAGTATTTGTGTTAAAAATGTTGAAGTTTCATGGTTAAATGCAAGTGCTACTCAAGACTGTTAACTATTTTGTGAAGTTGCTTGCTATTGCCCACCTTTTTCCACCCTCCTGTCTCCAAAGGTTATACCCAAACTAAGCATGATGAGAATACATGAAAGAATACATAACAGTAAAAAAAATGAACAAGTTTTTACAGTTATTCAAAGTAAACATACTCAGTAATCTTCCTCTTCTGTTTGTCTATGTGTGCAGAATCCAGCCATTCCAATGCAGAAGCTTCAAGACATCCAGAGGGCAATGGAGCTGCTCTCTGCATGCCAAGGCCCAGCAAAGAATATTGATGAGGCTACCAAACGTAAATACCAGTTTTGGGATACACAACCTGTACCTAAACTTAGTAAGTTTAACGGGATCTGGGCAAAAGATCTGTCTTATGACCACTGAGGGAATGTGTGTGCCAGCTCTGTGGCATGTTCTCTAAAATGGGTATTAAGTTGGACTGTGTGTGGTAGAGATCCTTAATCTTTTGTATAGTTTATGTGGAATTCTTGATGTTTTCTAGGGAAGTGCTTGCCTCCCCTCCAGATAATTTACAACAAGATACAGTGTTAATAAATCTCATTCTGATGTTCTCTATAAAAATGGGAAATGCTATTGATATAGCATTTCTTTGTGTATTTTAGGTCTGAACTCTTGAACAATAGAACGTAGAGGTCTTTTCCACTTAAAGGGAAGTAAGAACTCTTTAAGTGGTGACTAAGTGTAAATTTAGATTTTTTTTTTTTAATTTGTTTGTTTGTTTATATTCCCTTAAATTCTTTTCAACAGATAGATTTGCTGTCAGAGAAATAATGACTCTCCTGCTGTAGGTTACACTGTTTTCATACAGCTTTAAGTGGATAATGGCACTTTTCTCGTGTGCAAACTCTTTCACTGCTGTGTGTTCATGTTCTCCACAATGTACACTGCCTCAAGGACATGCTTTCTCAGAGTCTGTTCTCTGTTCTTGATACCAGGTGAAATTGTGAGGTGACCTCTCCTTGCCTTTACATTTCTAATGAATTTGGAAAGTTACTTTTTATACTGATCTGATCCCTGATAACACAGTTGGTATATCTTAGTCTTTGTTGAAAAAAGATAGTTGCTCTAGTTCCTGACTGTCTTGTTTTTTCTGCATTGCTTTCTGACTCTTCTTTTTCTGCTTTTGTTATCTTCAAGTTAAGCAGTTGTAGCTTTTCAGTGCCCACAAAACGTGGGGGCCTCAGAAGTAAAACATTCTCAGCACAGTAGCTGTCATTGTTTGTCCTTCAGGTTTCTCTCCATCGCATTGGAGACTGGTATAGAATAAGCAGAAGTAGGGTAGAGTGTAAAGCATGGTAGCATGCTGCTCTCTCTCTCCACAGGACAGAATTTCCCATTAATCCATGTCTATAGCTTAATCCACAGTGATCTCATTTCTTCACAACTTTGATGTGTAGAGAAGTCCAGAGCAGAGCCCCTGCATACTGTATTTTCCCCTGGATTGAACTGACCTGCCATGGCTTTTTTCCATACAAACTATCCAGATACCTTTGTAAACTGATGGTAGTAATTGTCACCAGCAACCCTGCCAAAGTAGAGAAGACCTTAGCTGAAATAAGTTGATGTGTAAATCAAAAAATACTCTGGCCATAATGAAGCTTTTTCAGGCTAGTTCAGGTGTCTGCACAGTACTTCCAAGAGTTCAGTTCAGGTTAATCAATATATCTTACAGCACTTATATAGAGATGAGAGTCTGCCAATTGCCAACCTAAAAACGTCAATACATTGGCTTAGAAAATGATTTGTTAGTGTTGTTCAGGAGAAATATGCTTTGTAAAATTTGGTTAGCAAGGTTTTGTCCAACAGTGCCTATGAATTTCTTCTTAATCCCATAGATTTTTTTTTTAAGCTTTTCCTTTATCTGCTGAATGAACAGATGGGGAATTCATCGCTATTTGACGTGCTCTGTGTGTTTAGGTGGAAAAAATAATCTGTCAGTTCAAGAAATAGTTGTAGGGATCTTTGCATTGAATTAACTTCGGAATCCTTCTGTCTTCAAGCTGAGATTGTTAGCAATGGGTCCTTTAGTTAGTCCAAGCCTGCCATGTAGTGGCAGTAACATTGGGGCTGTTGGTACTTTTCAGAGTTTGCTTAAAGGTGCTAATAATGGTGACCTTCCGAGCTGGATGGCAAGCCGTAACTATTTGTCAGGAATGTGCATCATTTGGGAAAAATTCGTACTACTAAGGAACATTTGACTCTCAAGAGCCTCATGATTGTTATGATAGGATTGAGTGTTTATGCATGAGAATCAGGGGGAAGGCCAACAGGGCAGATACCATGATGGGAGTCTGTTATAGAGATCCTAACCAGGATGAAGAGGCAGATGAAATATTCTGTAAGCAGCTGGGAGAAGTCTCACAATTGCTGGCCCTTGTTCTCATGGGTGACTTCAACTTACCAGGTGTCTTCTAGAAATACAATACAGTGGAGAGGAGACAGTCTAGGAGGTTCCTGGAGTGTGTGGAAGATAACTTTTGACACAGTTGGTGAGTGAGCCAACTAGGGAAGGTGCTCTGCTGGACCTGTTGTTCATGAAAAGACAGGACTTTTGGGTGATGTGATGGTTGGAGGCTGTCTTGGGCACAGTGACTGTGAAATCAGAGAGTTTCCGATTCTTGCAGAAGTAAGGAGGGGGTCAGGAGAACTGCCACCTTGGACTTCTGGAGGGCATACTTTGTCCTGTTTAGGAGCCTGGTTGTCAGAGTCCCTTGGTAGGCAGTCCTGAAGGGTGAAGATGTCCAGGAAAGCTGGATGTGCTTTAGAAGGAAAAAAGATGCAGGAATAGGCTGTCCCCACGTGTCAAAAGATGAGCTGAAGGGGAGGAAGACAGGCCTGGCTGAATAGAGAACTTTAGCTGGAACTGAAGTTGCGAATCAGTAATTTGGGCCACTTAAAGAATCACCATCAAAGATATCAGCAAAAAGCAGGTTTTAATATAAATTTGTGGAAGTGCAATTTAACAGAAAGTTTGATGGCAACATTCACTCTATTACTTACTACATAGATGAAGCATACATAGGAAAATGGAATTAGAAGCAATTTAGAATGATTTACGTGGAGGCTGGGGATGCAGAAGGGTCAGGGTGCCAAGGATATGGGTGCAAAAAGATAAGGGTGCAAAGGAGTTTAGCAGTACTCTAATCATTGACTAATTTAACATTTATGAAGTGATTCAGTAGGATACTACTGTTATAACAGTGACTTAATTATATATTCTACATAACAACATTGATACTATACTCAATTCACGCACATTGCATGCAGGCACAGAGATGTAGACGTGTTTAGGTATGCAAAGGTATCTGTTAAAAATTGCCCTGCAGTTCGGTGACATACTCACATCAAGTCCATTTCCATTTCTCAGCAGGAAGGGTTGAGCCTCGAGGAGCAGGGGTGTCAGCCTAGGCCTTGACCTCAGCAGCAGTCTTTGGAATATCGCAGACTTGGGGTTTACAAGCTCTGAGAGGCTTCCCACTCAGAGGGAGGTGCTGGTGCAGCCCACTGTCGTCCAGGACAGCTTAAAGGGCCTCACTTAGGGCCCCTCTTCATGAGGTTGCAAGGTGACTGGCTTTAGTCATCAGTAAGTTTCCATCCTGGCCATAACCCACATTGGTAACTGCTTTTTTTGGGGAAAAAAAAAAAAGGTCCAGTAGCAGTGGTACCATTTCACTTTGGCTACAGTTCAGGTAAATAGTGTTCCAAGGCTGTCAGGGGGTAACATTATCTGGGGATAAATGATTATTCTTTGTTCCCCACCTTGTTCAGGCAGTGGATGATCCTGATACAGTCAGTGTCGCTCCCACCTTTACTATGCTGGAGCTTCTGTTATGGTCAAGGGATGTTTCACGGCCTAACTTTGGTAGTTTGGTCAAGGCTTATCAGGAACTCCTGAGATTGTAGAGCAGGCCTAAGGAGGGATGGGGCGCACGCACCACCAGAGGAATTCAGGAAAGAGAATGATGGTTTATGGCCTTTGGAGGAGGGGCTGACAACTCAGGAGGCCTGTAGGGATGCTGTGAGGTAATGCAGGGAGAAAATCAGAAGGTCCAAAGCCCTTAGAACATAATCTGGCTACTGCCATAAAAGACAGTGCTACAAGAAAGAGTGCTGAGTTGCTGGAGTGTGGCCAGAGAAAGGCAACAAAGCTTCTGAAGGGTCTGGAGCACAAGTCTTATGAGGAGCAATTGAGGTTGTTTAGCCTGGAGAAAAAGAGGCTTGGGGGGACCTTATTGCTCTCTACAAGTACCTGAAAGAGATTGTAGCAAGGTGGGGGTCAGCCTCTTCTCCCAGATAACAAGTGATAGAACAACAGGAAATGGCCTTGGGTTGTGCCAGGGGAGATTTAGATTGGATGTTAGGAAAAATGTCTTTACTGAAGGGGTTGCAGAGCATTGGAAAATGCTCCCCAGGGAAGTGGTAGACTCACCAGCCTGGACGTTTTGAAAAGATATGTAGATATGATGGTTTACTGGCAGGCTTGGCAGTGTAAGGTTAGTGGTTAGATTATGATCTTAAAAGTCTTTTCCAGCCTAGATGATTCTATGATTTAGCATGTGCTGCTCCATAGAAGAGGAACAGCAGCTGTCAATAGCTGTACACTGAGGGACCGGAGTTGTAAAGTAAGGGAGGAGAAGAAAGCATGCCTTCATGTAGGATTTTAGGAACACTTCTCACGTATCAGCAGTATCTTTTAAATGCTCTGGCTTTGCTGTGCCACTGCTCCTGAGTAATCCTGTTGAGATCAGGTCTGTTCAAGTCGGTGGTAAACAAGATCTGAGCTTGTTAGATGTGAGTACAACATGTCTCTCATAATGAGACTGTGGATCTCGTGGCTTGCTAAGTGCTGTGCATGTGCTGATAAGTTGTCCTGTGTTATGAAATAGTGGGTATCAGTTGAGGTAGAGTGGTTCTGTGCATATCTATAAATTTTCTGACAAGACAGTCATTGGTCTGAATGTGATCTGTGAGAATGAAAAGTAGTGTAAACTAATAATACTAATTTTTTCACCATTTTTTAAAAGCTTCATGTTCCTATCACATAATTATGAGACAATACATGATGTGAATTAAATGCAGTTTAGAGAACTATCAGGAAAGCTAGCAATATAACAGTTTTTTGGGTTTTTTTTCCCCCCCTCCTCCATCAAAAGATGAAGTTATAACTTCACATGGTGCAATTGAACCAGATAAGGACAATGTCCGCCTAGAGCCATATTCTTTGCCACAAGGTTTTATGTGGGACACATTGGATCTTAGCAATGCCGAAGTTGTAAGTAAAACAATTTTTATATGTATCTAAAATAATTCAAGTTTATTCTCATTGATGCATGGATAAATCTTTGTATTTTTTTGTGTGTGTTTTCAGCTGAAGGAGTTATACACACTGTTAAATGAGAATTACGTAGAAGATGATGATAATATGTTTAGGTTTGATTATTCGCCTGAATTTCTTCTGTGGTGAGTAGCAAGTTCCACATTCTGTTCTGCCTGAAGTGCAAAGAAAGGTGTTTTTATTACATCTTCTTAGGCAGTAATTTGTAATTATTTCTGTCATCAATTCTAGGGCGTTACGTCCTCCAGGCTGGTTACCCCAGTGGCACTGTGGGGTTAGAGTGTCTTCAAACAAAAAACTGGTAGGATTCATAAGTGCCATCCCTGCAAGTATTCGTATATATGACAGGTAAAATGCGCCATTAGTTTTGTGTTTGTAAAAGAATAATGCCACAAAACAAATCTTCAACTGGTGTCCATTGCTATAGAAAACTTAAAAAGAGAGAAGGAGGCTCACTGATCATAAAGAGTCAGAAGAATCCTGTGTATGTAGCAGACTTTTTTTTTTACTCTTCTCACCACTTCCCCTTCTTCCTCCCTTAAAAAAAAAAACCAAACTTGTGAGCTCATTGCATGAAGACTATTAATAAATATATAAGGAATTTTCTTACTGATGAATGATACAGATAATGGCATACAATTTTCTGACCATACTGGAAAGTATTTAAAGGATAGTCAGCTAGTCTTCTTGGACAAGTGTTTGTACACTGACGAACATAAAGCATAATGGTACCATATAACATGTGCTTGGATGCCCTTCTGCATCCTAAAGTAAGGCAATTGGTTGAGTCTTGATAGAATAGAGCTTTGAAAAGGGACTATAGCAAACACGTTAGACTTAGCTTGCATATTGCACAATTTGCCATTACAGTCACAGTATCATAGAGTAGTATTTGTTGCAGATGTACTTTGTCACAGGCCAATTTATTCTTACTTCAAATTCTTCTGTCAAAATGTGGGAAACTGTAATTATGCAAATGAAAACATGCACTGTGTAACTTTCTTTAATTTTTCCTCTATTTATTGTCCTTTTAGTGTGAAGAAAATGGTAGAAATCAATTTTCTGTGTGTCCATAAGAAACTGAGATCTAAACGGGTAGCACCTGTACTAATTCGGGAAATAACCAGAAGAGTAAACCTGGAAGGAATTTTTCAAGCTGTTTACACTGCTGGAGTGGTACTTCCCAAACCTGTGGCCACTTGCAGGTAACCTAGGTGATGCTCCTAATAACATTGGTTCCTACAGCAGTCATTTTAAAGAAAATTTAATGTAATTGCCTAGAAACAATAAAAGCATAAAATTCAAAGTTGTTAAATGTTGTGGCCTTGACTAAGCTGAAGGGCTGAATCTTTGTCAGGGTTGGTTTTTTTGATTCCCCCCCACCTTCCCCGTGCCTTGGATAAAACAGCTTCTCAGACTAAAATTTAATTTTGGGTTTGTTAGCATACCTTAAATAGGCTAATCAATATTTCTGTTGACCTTGTGGTGAAAGCCATGCTAGCATTGACAAAATTGTATACCTGTGTTTTTTCAAGTGGCCTGTTTCCCTGCTGGGACACTTCCCTGTTGACCTGGTTGCTTGCCAGAGATGGCAGAGCATTTCTGGGAATTGTATGATTTGCTTTTTTGAGATACTTTCATCTTTCCTGGAGAAAGGAGGTCTTGATTGGCATTTGATAAAGATGGGACAACTGCCATGTGGGAAGAGTTACAACCAAGTATAATTTCATTTGCTTGGAGTGGATTATATTTCTACTAGGAAAGGTTCAGTTCCTGCAGTTTTAGTCCAGCTGTCTAGCATTCTGGAGGACAGAGTAGTTTTTTATTTGAAATCGTTTTGTACCTACCAACAGCAAAGATCCTGTAAGTAAGGAAGGATGGGGGGGAAAAAAAGCCATGCTGTGTTAGTAACACAGTAACAGTGATCTGTTACTCAGTGATCTCCCAGGAAGGGGAGATCTTCAACAAAAGGCTTAGACATGAGCAGAGCGTCCTGTCTGCACAAGAAAATAAATGTTATCCATGTAAGTATGGTGAGATTTTCAGAGCTATGATAAGTACTAAAATGTTTAACTCTGTGCTCACTCATTCTGTATCAAAAAGCATTTGCTTAAATTCAAAATACTGTGATAGCAGGCCTGTTTAAAAGCTATTGCTTGGATATAGCTTTTCCTTAATTTTTTTGTTGCTTAAGCTTCTTACAGACATAGTACAGGCTTGCTTAGAAACAAATTTGGAGAGGAAAGGAGCAATGCAGTAAAGCAGGGAAATGGATGCAAGTAAAGCTGACACTTAAAATAGTATTTAAACTCATTATTAATTTTATTTCCAGGTATTGGCATCGATCACTAAATCCCAGAAAATTGGTGGAGGTGAAATTTTCACATTTGAGTAGAAACATGACTCTACAAAGAACAATGAAGCTCTACAGACTTCCTGATGTAAGCAGTATGACTTCTAGAGAATCCCCACAGTTATTGTGAAGCCTAAAATAACCTTCCATCTGTCTCTGACAGCACAGGCTTTTCTGTGTAAAGGCAGTGTGTGCAGGACATTAAAAAAAATAATCTCTGGTTGATGAAAAAGACATTAAGGGCTATACTAAACAGAGGAGGCTGTTGCCGGAAATCTTGATCTCTGTATGGAGAAAACATAAATTTTGACCTAAAATCCTTAAACAAAGGAAAAAACCCCAGAAACCTTGACTTCATAAACATGTGGGATTGAGTTGAAGATGCATAAGACTATTCTCAGTATGTTTAATCTGTTAAGAGATTACTGGTACAGAAAATCAACAGTTCATGTCTTAAAATTCTCAGAGAAGTCCATCAGCAGCTTGGCTGAGTACAGTCATATTCTTGATTCCACTCTAATTCACATCCTTTTCTGTTCAGCCAGAGAATGTTGTTCTTTGCAATGAGCAGGCTCAGCAAAAGCCACCTCAGTATGTTGTGTACTGTGTTCTAGCATAGCTAGGTTAGTTAAAAATATTTTTTCTCATGTTTGCAGCTAATAGTTAAGCTTGCAAAAAGCCTTAGGGTGCAATTTCCATGACAGGGCAAGTCAGTATAAGTACTATGTACTACTAAAAAATCTCATTGCTGTCATTAATAGCCTATAGAAGTCAGTCTGAGCTTTATGGTGAAAATAATTTCTTTGCTTGTAAAAGCCACCTTTCAATTCGAAGGGATTGCAGAGTATACTTTACCCGTACCTTATCAGTAGACCTTCTTTTATTAAAACAAACCTATTCTTTTGGTTAAAAACACGCGTTTTTCCTCACTCATAGTACTTTGTAATAATTTATCTGATTTTGGAGAACTGTGTCTTGTTAGCTTGATGCTGCAGATTCTCCTACTGCTGAAATATTTGAGTGGTACACTGAGCACTCCTTGGAATAAAGCACGTGCCATGGCTTGATCTGTGCTCCTGCTGCTGTCGGAGAGACTCGTTTCCTGCACTGCCTGCGTGCCAACTGTGCTGCACACGCAGCTTCTCCCTTGCGTGCAGGGCAGCACTTTTCAGAGCTTAAGAATTAATAACCAAATTAATTAGGTTTTAATCTTGGAAAGCTAAATATAGCTTCCATCAAATCTTGAAGACATTTTTAAAAGTCTGAAAAAGTGCAGTATACAATTTCAAATACAGGTTTTGGTGGCAACTCTAGTAACATTTCTCATGGAAACAACTCAGGAAGCGAATAGTTTAAAGAATAAGGATCTTACTTACAGTACCAAAACTACAGAGAGTCATTAGAAACAGCATTTATACCCTGATCATCTTCCTTTAGCATAAAACCCAATTTCAACAGAAAAGTGAATTATGGAAAACAAATAATACATCGTATCTCATTACTATAGGTAAGGCAAACATATACTGTACACAGAAGTGCAAATAGAAAATGGGTGCTTTCAAAATCAGCTTTTAAAACTAAATGATGTAGGAATCCATATACCTCAGTTATTTATTTTTAGACTGGATTTGGGAACTTCTCCCATAGAAAATGAAGATTTAATCTTTGTGCTAATATTTTCTCTCTAAGTCTTGTGCTTTGGGTTTATTTGGATGTTGTTTTTTTCCCCGAGAAAGGGTTTAAGTGCTGTTGAGAATCTTTTTTCTGAGTCTCAGGCTGTTATCATAAACAGGACTGTCACACAAATTTGACAATTCAGGCCATGCTATCCTGTCCCTCAGCACCAAACACTGTTTCTTGCATTTTAACCTCTTTTCTTAGCGTCCTTGGAATATCATTGCCACTGGGAGCTCATCTCCCTTTAAGAGAATTAATCGTTCCTAATCACTTGAACAGGCTGAATTAAAAAGGTTTTCAGATATAATAAGTACTGTAATTAATAAATACTACCCTCGCTAAAGGCTGTGCACATACCTTTAGATACGAAAAGTAAAAGTTGTTTTTTTTCTAAGTGTTTAATCTCTTGAGAAAGGAGTTTTCTGAAAGAGGTAGATTTTGTCTGTATTTAGAGTAAGGAGAGGAGCATGTTTGTATGTCTTTTCCTGACTGACTGAGATCCTGACACTGGATAGTCACAAGAATGTGTGACCAGTGCAGCTTGATATGTGAAGCAGAGAAACAAATTTTAGCCCAGTTCTGTACACTTTCCCTCATTTTTGGGGTTGCAAATGATCATTTACTGGTGGACATTCTGAGCATTGCTGGGAGAAAAAGATGTTCCAGCCCAGCTCGTTTTCCTCCATCCTTTCTGTTAGTCAGGTGTACACCCTTATGGAATAAAGGCATTTTAAAATATAGGTGATGTGCTGTTGTGGAGTCAAACCATAGTCCCAGGCTGCTCAGAAAAGCAGGAAGACTAAACACAGTCCAGAGCTGCAGCAAAATGTGCCTTGATTTCTCATCTGGCTGCTGACTCCCGGAGTGCATCAATAATACCTCCCCCAGAATAATGCCTTTTGGCCAAAGCCTAATCAGCTACACTAATTTCAGGCTTCCAGTAATCAAGTCTCTACCTGGCTGCTCTTGCAATTGACTTTGCTATGATTAATGTGATACGTGCCCAAGTATGTAGCTCAGGCAGACGAAGCAGGATAAATGAGCTCTGAAGAGAACAAGTGTTAGCCTCTCTAAAAGGAAATAGTCAGGAAAGCTAACAAAATCTTGCAAGAAATTTTTAATCACCTTCGCTTGTTTAAATTAATTGCATAGTACTAGAAGGCAATTTTTTTCTCTTCTGATGTTTAAAGTAAAAAAAAAAACTGTTTAAGTACTGTAGGTTTTTCATTTCAGGCAGCTGTAAGTTATGAGAAGCTTTCTTGTTAACAGAATAGCAGTTGTGCCTGTATAGAAACTTGGGTCAGCAAGGGAGTTTGCAAATGCTAAGAATAGGTAGTAGTACACTAAGCAGTCTTTGGAATTTTTTTTGTTAAATAATTTCTAATTAAACTTTATCAGCTGATTTTGATGTATAGTTTGACTGTAAGTTTGAATTGCTTGTGTTCTTGTCTTCAGATTAACTTCTGATACACAAGTTTCATTGGTTTGTTTCTGTGTCTGGGCCCTAGGTAGTTTAGAAGAAAGTAAGAAATAAACTGACCTAAAAAAAAAAAGCAAAACACAAACTGCACAAAGTCTAAGCTGTTGGCAATGGTATGTCTTTCTCTGGAGAAATGTAGCTCTTTCAATAATGAAATATAAAGACTGAAGTGCCCCAGACTGTTTCAATAATTAGAAGAGAGGGAATTCTGATTGAAAGCCATTTGTAAAATAGCATAATGAATTAGGTGGCTGGGATGAAGTAGACTAATAATGAATGCATTATAGCAAGTGTAGTGACTCTGCAACCTACTTTCAGCCTTTGCTGTGTTTGCAGTTTTCCTTTCAACATCTTAACGTGTATTTTTCCTTTGTTACAATAAGGCCACAAAGACTTCAGGTTTGAGACCAATGGAACAAAAAGATACTAAAGCAGTACAAGAATTAATCAACACTTACTTGAAACAGTTTAATCTTGCTCCTGTGATGGATGAAGAAGAAGTAGCCCACTGGTTCCTGCCTCGGGATCATATTATTGACACTTACGTGGTGGAGGTAAAATACGCCCTAACAGATATGAATGTATATGTGAATGCCACTTACAATAGTTATATCAGCATCAAGTTTTTGAAATGTGGGCAGTATGAAAAATGTGTGTTATAGGTAGAACTTGATATCATGATTACAGGTTTTGTTCTTTTTATTGCATTCTGTTAACAAAAAAAAGTTTGGTTGTGATAAACTGCAGTGCTCTTATAATAGGATATCTTAAAGAATTTTGAAATATCACTATCTTGGCAAGATTACAACAAAGAACTTTACATACTTTAAGGTCAGCTCTTCCACGTGCATTTCTTGATTCTTTTTTCGCAGAGATATGACATGATAATAAGCAGTGATTTTCAAACCTCCTTTTCTAGAAAAAAAAGAAGAATGATGCAGTGACTGAGATAAGGATTTGGTTTGAATTGACTGTCAATCTCTCAGGTGTAAATGTTTCTGCCACACACCAGTAAAAAATTCTTTATTTTTAAACCAAATTTTAGATGGAACTGCTGGGAAAATTATGGTTTTTGATGATCTGCTTCAGTAAAATGTGGGTTTTTTTCAATAAATGTATGTATATATATGTTTGAATTTCTGTATATATATATATAGTATATATCTACATATAATATATTTATACATCTACCACCTCCACCTTCCAAACGGTTGGTGCTAATGCTCCTCTCAAAATAAGCAAATGCAGGAAAAGATGAGCATTTGGAATGGGTGCAATAAAGCTAGTGGAGAAAGATATGCTCTTCCCTTTGAGTCCATACAAAATCAGTTATAGACATCATATTTAGATAGTGTATAACTTTGTTTAAAGTAATAACGTTATTTAAAAATGATCAGCAGTAACATCCTTAAACCTACCAGCTCCTCATAGAAGCTGCAGGTTGTGAAGCTCAGTGTTCCCACACTGCAGCCTGAATTTGTACAGGAGCCTCAGCTGAGTTAGGAAACTTAGTGCTGCTGGAGATGAGTGGTCCTGCTCATCAGTTGTCATTGTCCAAGTTTAGCTTTCTACTTACTTTTTAGTGGGTCTAGTGCTCATTGGGCTTTTCCATTTTCTCATTTATAGTCCCTCCTTCTTTTTCCACACCTTCTCCCTGCCCTCCGCCCTGCTCCCTGAGTCGGCTTTTGGCTTTGTTTGTGACTTGAAACCTGCAGGAGAGCCCAGAAGCACCAGGATCAGCGTGAATGTCACACTGGCAGTGCCATTCTAACTGAACAGCAGAGTCTTTAATTGCTTGTTTTACACTATCTCTTGAACTAGTTTTTCACTATAGAAAATGGAAGTTTGTTAATGCTGGAGATTGTAACCTGGAGATGTTAGTGTCAGACTTTTAAATCATCTTTGTAATGTGCAGAGCTAAAACCTTAAAATACTCTTTATAATTTCTGAGTTAACATTTTCATCATCCTTACTGAATTCAGTGAGTGACTTAATAATTTTTCTGTTACTCTCTACTACAGGCTCCGTACCTGCTCTAAGACAAATAGCTTTTCTGCATGTGATGGGTTCAACTGTTTTACTTTTTACTGTAGCAGTACAGTTAATTTAAGGATCCATGTGAGGTCCTTCATTGAGCACTAAATAGTGAGCACTAGTCATTCAAAAATAAAGCAAACAAGCAGTAATGAGCATTTGTGTGTCTCCTTTGCCTTATCTTCTTGGAAATACCAGGAGAGAAAATCTGGGTAGTTTTTTTACCCATGTTATAATTATTTCCCATTTCCTGTTAATCTATGCTCTTGGAGATGGTTAAATTTCCTTAGGTGCGTGAAATATTAAGAAGTTTTATGTAGTATATTTTAAATTTCTGCACAAGCACCTTTTTTGATGACTGTTGGTTTTATTAAAATTTCAATGTGATTTAGCACTGTTATCCAGATAGTTGCTTGTGCTTGGTGATTAATAATCATAAGCTGATTTAAATATGCTTTGTACACCAGCACAGTATATTTTTTCTCTATTTTTAGAAAGATGAGAAAATTATTCCTCAACATTAACATCATCAGATTTTTAAAAATATCCTTAATATTTTGTTAAAAATCAGTTGGAAAAACACCTACATACTTTTTTTTTGGAAGTATGCTTTGTTAGCTCTCTCTATAGCAGACTAAGCTTGAGAAACAAACTGAACTGCTTTGACAACTGCTTGTCAAAGTGTTAGTGGTATAATAGACTAGAAAAATTTAAATGTTTGTTTCCTCAAATCTTAGCCAAGATTAGTTGTTATACCATAATACTTACAGTGCACAAACCTTTCTGGATTTACTACTTACCTTGTGTAGAACTGCCCTGTTAGCCTAACCAATAACTGAGCTGTTACTTCTTATTAATTAACTTGTTTGGGTTTGGGTTTTTCTTGTAGGGCTCAAATGGTATTTTAACAGACTTCCTGAGCTTCTACACATTACCTTCAACAGTGATGCATCATCCTGTTCATAAAAGCCTCAAAGCTGCCTATTCCTTTTACAATATTCATACAGAGACTCCCCTGTTGGACTTAATGAATGATGCACTCATTATAGCCAAATTGGTAAGTTATGGGTTGTTTGGTTTTCTTTATGCTTCATTCACGAAAGTATTCTTAGGAGTGGTGGCAAGGTAAGAACTGGCAGCAATTTATCCATGCCATTGCATTCAGTTTTACTGTCCACAGCACAGAGAGAGTGCAGTTGATGAGACATATACAATATGTATATCAAAGTACAAAGCACAGTGCTTGTTTTTCCTTTTTACTTTGAGTGATGCTAGGGAGTGACAAGTGCATAAAGATCAAGCACTTGCAGTAGCTTGAACTGTATAAACACCCAGGAGTACATCGATGACCATAGTCACTAAGTATCAGAAGAACAGAAAGTATCACTAAAATAATTTCCCTTGGAGATTAATTAATAACTTCTATCAAATACATTTTTAGTTTTTAAATTATTTTTTATTTCTAAAAAATATAAAAGTTTATTTATGTAAGCTTTATCATTTTATTGTGTTACTAATTGCTACCTCTGCGGCTTTGTAGGTGGTGTCATGTTGTAGCTTTTATGCATACCTTCATGCATGGAATTACACTGACAGATGGTTTGATTGAATGGAGGGGAAAAGACTATAAATGAAGTTCTTAAGCAGAAGAATTTTAAGAGTTTAGTACTGTCTGATGACAAACTAATGCTCAGCTCTTAGTCATCAGGGTTTCATGGGAGTGCAGTGTCAATACCAATGGTCACGTATTCTGTGGCCCAGACCTGTTTAGCCTGGGTAATTCACAGTACTGCACAGGCTCCATCCACTCCATGGCATCTGTTCTAGCAACCATTCCCAACATGCTGCAGAGCACAGGCATGTTTTCTGCTTTTCATGCTTGACACTTGCCTCTCCAACTGAAGTGTTGCCGCCGCACTGCTTGTGGTGTCACACCTGCCAGGTGAGTGCTCAACGCAGGCCAGTCTGTACTCCGAATGACCACGCTCAGAGCCATGGCATGTGGCACAGGGATTTTTTTTGTTGGTCCTATAGGAAGCCAGTGATGGTCTGCAAAGGCTGCTTCTGTTCAGACTTCAGGCTGCATGATAGCAGCCATGGTCTTCAACTTGTCTGTCTCAGCCATGATCGTTCAGTCCTGCAGCTGAGCTGCCATCTATGACAGGAACTGCTTGCTGAGGCTGTTGACCTATAAGTAGTTCAGTAATTATTTGTCAAGGAAAACTCCTGAATAGTCATGGGGAATACAGAACCCTGTTACTCAGACTCCAGAATTATACAAAGGGAAGTTCAGAAACAGACTTTAAAAGGCAAGTGTAATTTTCAGAAGTGGCTAAAAATATTGGTACCGATTCTTAAAAATCAAGGTGGAAACAGGGATAATGGTTGGTCTCCATTTGAAGTGTGACACAGAGAGCCAAGTGTCTGGCCATTTAAAGGCCATAGATGGAACAGGTTTGGAGGCAGTTACGTGGTGTAACTGCAAGGATGTATACCTTCCCCTGTGTACATTTCTCTCTGAATGTGACATGTGATTCTTTTCTTTTGAGTGGATCATAATATAGCTACAATATATATAAATCCCATTAAATAATGGGATTTACACACCTGTGGATTTCAGAAGTAACTGCTGGGCCTGTCTGCATCATTAGATGCCTAATTACATTTGTAGATCTGGCACTTGAGTTTTACATGGTGAGAGCTGAGGCAAGGAAAGAGAACTGATAAATGCAGGCCTATTCACAGCTTTCTGTTTACAAACATACCGAGTCTGGCTGGGATGGAGTTAACTTTCTTCCTAGCAGCCCATATGGTGCTGCTCTTTGTAACTAAAGCAGGGCTGATAACACACCAGTGTTTTGGCTGTTACTGAACGGTCTTGCTCAGCCTCAAGGCTTTCTCTCTTTCCCCCAGCATGAGTAGGCTGAGGGTGGGCAAGAAGCTGGGACACAGCCAGGAGAGCTGATGCCAAGTGACCAAAGGGATATTGCATACTGTATGATGTTCTGCTCCATAATAAAGGCTGAAGCAAGGGAGGAGGAAGGGGGGATACTCCCAGGGATAGCATTTATCTTCCCTAACAATCATGCATGCTGAGATCTTGCTTTCCAGGAAGGAGCTTGACATCTGCCTGCTGATGGGAAGTAGTGAATGAATTTTTCTTTTTGCTTTGCTTGTGCCTGCACTTTTGCTTTCTCTATCAAACTGTCATTATTTCGATTCACAGGACATCTTGCCTTCCTTCTATTTTCTCCCCATCCTATGGGAGAGAAGCAAGCCACAGGCTGTGAGGGAGTTTGGCTCTTGGCTGGGGACAACACACCATGGTCCCTTCTGCACTTTCACTCCAGATAATAGGGTTTGGAGGTACAAATTTAACTCAGCAAATTGCTTTCAGGGTTTGCGTGCCCGTTTAATGTTTATTTTTATCTTCATAACATACTATATAAAATTAGCTTAGAACTAAGTCTAGTAAAATCTTGGCAGTTACAGGATAAAACACATGACCCTCAAAGTAAAACCCAGAATTTAGAGTTATTTGCTTAGGTTCCGTGCATTCTGCGTGCAGAAAGTGGGATTTTGCATCAGGATAATCCCTCCAAAACCCTATGTATTTTATTGTGGAAGATGATACTCAGTTTCTAGATCTAGAACAGGAGAGAGCCTAGAAGCAAGGAAGAAATTCACTTCTGAGTCTGCTTCAATGGTCTGTGAAGAGCTGTGAAGAAACTACCTTTGAACAGGAACCTTTTTATACCTCTCATAAGATACTAACCTCAATCTAATCTGCTAATGTTTAGATACTGGACTAAAACTACATCTGTAGAGTTCATAATTTATTTGAATTTTGAGTGCTTAATTGCAGAGTTTAATGTGTCTGTACCTAGAGTGCTTCTCTATTCTCCCCTGCTTCCCTTCCTGCCTTCTGAGATTTCTGTTACTATCTATTACTAACTTGGAATATTCCAAAATCTGCTTTCAGTGCTAAGTGTCAAATCCTCACCACCTTATTTGTCTTGTTTCTATGTGGTTTTTCACAGCACATTTAACTTAGCAAAGCTTCATCTGCACACAGAGTGATCTTTTTGCAAGGTAGTGGGAAACCTTACTAAAACTCACTGTCTGTGCTTGTGACTTTATTTTGAATAGTCCTGATGTGGATCTTAAAAATGCTCATTTTCCTCAACCCCCTTTTTTCCTAATATGGGATGCTCATTTAAAAGAAAAAAAAAAACAAACCTGATTTTTATACTGAGTAAAGAATGTTCCTTACCCTATCTTCTTGTACTTAAGTAATTGAGCAGTATTGTTTTGTAACTTACTTTTGTCTTAAGAGTACATCATGTCCTGCTGGTGCACTACCTTGGTGCTGTTAAGACTGCAAGATCTTAGTTCAGAATCCCTTGCAGTTAGTTGCACTTAAATGGACTTCTGTATCCACACCCCAAGCAAATTCAGCTATCCGTACATGCTGGTTGTCACTTTGATGGCTTAACTGACCTTGAGTTTATGCTGCTTGTTAAGAGTTCACAGTAAGTTAGGATTTGGGTGTGTTTGTATTGCTGCACAAAACTCTTGAGACTGATTTGGCCATGTGGCTCTTCTGAGAGAAAAAATGACTCTCTGAGTGGTGATTTGGGAGATTTATGAAAAGAGGAGTTGGTAGAGGGTGCATGAGTAGGGGAGGGATTATCACCTGAAAGATTTGAGTTCTGAAGACAATGGCATTTCAGAAAAGGACTGAATCACAGAAATATTTTTATTGTTAACAGAATGATAAATTGAAAAACACCATAGGCTGTATTTATGCAGCTTCAGCTGGAATAGGCCATGTGTGTCAAAACACTGTATGTGATTTTAAAAAATGTGTATCTGTAAGGATAAAATCACAGAAAATGCTTTAGGGACTCTTCAGACTTTAGACCCTGAAAGTGGCTATAAGATTTGTACCCTCCTGGAGATAACCTTCAAGAAAAGCTGTGCTTTATACTTCAGTTTTTATTGGGAATAGACTTGTGTGTGTACCTAATTAAAAGACAAGATTTATTTCATTGTCTTCTTTTCCTTTTAATTAGCCTAGTCTCTTGGATACTGTATGCCACTGTGTAAAGTGTCATTTGAAACTTTAAAAAGTAAAATTTTTTTTAAAAATGTTTTGCTGTTGCCAGAAAGGATTTGATGTATTCAATGCACTAGACTTAATGGAAAACAAAACATTCCTGGAAAAACTCAAGTTCGGGATTGGAGATGGAAATTTGCAGTATTATTTGTACAACTGGAGGTGTCCGGGCATGGAATCTGAAAAGGTAAAGGAGAAAAAAGAGTTTCTGAATTCTATTAGATGTAATTGTACATTAATCTACACTGGCCAAAAATGGGCAGAAGTTTTAAAATAACTTTTTTAATTGGCCCTTTTTATGATCCATAATTGAGGTGCAGGAAACTACTGATTTTAAGATTTATTGCTATACTTGAACTAAAATACTATTTTTTTCTTCTTTCTTTAGGTTGGTCTTGTATTACAATGAGGACACTCACATTTCTAGAACTCTGAGGTCATCGTTTTGAGTTAATTTGATCTCCATAACTCTTGGAATGGTATTGTTCAAGAGGAGTAAAAGCACAACGTCGGTGATACTGAAATAGTCCATTAAATCTGAACAATGAAAACATCCACATGTGACCAAATTTATGCATTTTCAGATAGATCAGAAGGCCCATGAAACTCTTCTATTGTCCATGAAAAGAATAAAAAGCACATTCATTTAAGTTTCAAAGCTTAGCTTGCACCTTGATGAGAAGAAGGTATTTTTTTCCACTCTGTAGAAAAGACTGTTTTGTACAAACTGAACTTCAGTGGTGGATTAGGGTACAAAAATATTTGCTATTATGTGGATGAACTGCTGCATTTCTATTTATTAAGTGGTGGTGTATGTTTGTCAGTGTAACCGAATGAAGGATACAAATTCCAGTATCTTTGCTTATTTACTTCACGTGGATATCATCATTTGGGGGAAAATCAAGAAGTACGATACGTTTGTAGCTCTGTGAAAGTCCTGGATGCTTTTGTAACTGGAGCAGTATGACAATGTACTGGTTTAACTAGTGCATTTGTTTCTCCATAAGCAACGCTGCCAAATCAATAAAAAATACAGATTTGTACTTTGATCTTCAATAGATCAGTGGATTGATTTAACAGTATCGCACTGTTCAGTGCAGGTGTTATCTATGTTGCCGGAATGATAATACATTACTGTACTTAATTTACAGTTGTGGCACAAAACCTTAGTTTTTCCTCAGTAGAATAACATCAGCCTGTGTGTAAAACTAAGAATTTTAGTAGTGCTATCAGGATGTTTATAGTTTGAATGTTTTCAACGCTTCTGCGAAATTGCACATATTCCTTTGTCTACTTTGATTTCCTATGAAGTCTGTAATTCTAATGAAAAGTATCTTGTGTAAATATGTATTCATAAATTGTTCCTGGTAGTGTTTTTATCCTGAATTTGGAACAAGAAGTTTTGCTATATATATGTGGCTGGTAAGCAGAAGAGAAATGCTCTGCCCTCAGTCCTTGGAAGTCTCTGTAACTGCACTTCCTGAAATGTAGGAGGGCTGATCTCTATTGTTGGGTGGAGCTGTTTTAATTCCCTCATGAATGCTCAGCAACGGGAGTGGCTTCTGAAGCACTTTATATGCATTCCAGCGTAGTGTCATAGCTAGATATGATAGCAGTTCTTTCAGCTCATGGATGCTGCAGTAATGGGATGGGAGCACTGAGAAAATCTGCATTGAGAAACTGTTCTAGCTGAAAGTGCCAAATTGTGGTAGTGAAGCCTCTGTGCTGTGAGCATCTTTTGAATGTGACTTGAATATCTCATGAAATGCAAATGTCTAACTTTCCTTTTAAACATGCCTGTAATTCTGACAGCAGATTTTGCTGAAAGTTTAATTCTGTACATGAAGATAAATTTGTCTGTTCTTCATAACTGATAGCCCTACCCACCTCCTTGTAGCAGTGGGGTTTTTCTTTCTTCCTGCTCTTTTTCCAATGTGTGAATGGTTTGTGTTTTGGTTTATTTTTCTTGTTGAATTGTGGTGAGAGGATTCTGCCCTAGAAACAGTGATACTTTCCCTTACTGCATTATAGCTCTGTGATTAAAGCATCCGACCTCCTTCAAACAAAGGAAGGGACTGAATGTGGTTTGTCTGACTCCTGGGTGTGCACCAGCTTGGGACCTCATGAATTTAAAAGGACTTCAAAGGAGATCTAATGGTGCAGTTGGGCTTTATGTCTCTGGCCTGTCTGCTAGTAGCAGTCTGCTAGTAGCAGTTACAACAGATGGTGCAGAGGAAGTTTGGACTCTCTATGTGAGGCCTGAGGAGAATTAAGTGCCTGAAAATATCATTGATGGTAGTGGTATCTGAGATAACAAGAAGGATTTAATCTCAACTCCATCAAAGACTTAAGTTTTTAACTCCCAAAAGGCATGAAGGTGCCCCCCTGGCAGGGCATTCTCACTGGAGCCCTCTGGGATGAGGAGGAAGTTCACCAAGGGGCTCAGTGTGGGCTGCTTAGGTTCTAAGGGCAGAGCCTTGTCAATCCTTGCTCGGGGCTGTCTAATGTGAGGTGGGACAGCAGAGCACAGCTCTGTCCTCATGTATAAGGTACTTCCTTGCTAAGAAACAGTCACAACCCAGCTCTTCCTAATCTGGATGGGTGGTGTTGAATGCCAGGTGGAAGATACACTCATGTTCTCTGCCTTCCTTCCCCTCAAAACAATGCACGTGGAAGAAATGTTAGGCAGGTGTTTTCTTTTCTCATCTCTTCTCTGAAATCAGAAGGCAAATCCTCCCAAGTACTGTTGTTTGTAAAACTGAGGCCATGATGTGACCAATTATGTCCTGGTAGAAGACAGACTTGAACCTGGGTTTCCTGCAGCCTGACTTTCTGCCCAAATCTACAGGTTAGGGCACATGAAGAAAGGAGTGTGGCCACTCTTTTGCTCTGTTCTGGTAAAACAGTGCCGTTTGCTTCTGAATCCAAGGGATAAACTTCTGTCTCATTTTCCAGCTCACTTTCCATGTTAACTGAGGGTAGGGAGGGCAGAGTTATGCTCCTGTAGAAGCTGTGCAGCACTATAACTGGGAGCAAATTTATCGGTCAGAGCATGAGGGAAGTGGGCAGCTGAGCCTGAGTGCTGGGGCAGTTCCTGGAGAGTTCTGTTCATGAACCTGTGTGTTACCTAACAGCTGTGCAATCCAGCATGGTCTCTTCTGTCCCTGTTGAGTGCTCTTCACCTCGAAGAAGTACTGCTTTGCTGAAGTATCACAGCGTCAAGAGGACATGAATCTTGAAGGTGTCCCAGCCTACAAGCACACAGTAAGACAGTTACTCGGGAGGTGAAAATTGTGGCAACTCACTTTCGCTTTCTAAGCAGGTATTTAACAATAGATGAATATCTGTGTGGGTGTCACTGTCAGCAGCTCAATAAGAGAGGCTCTTCTGTTGTTTCCAAACTTGAACCTGTGCATTAGGCTTGCTATAAAGATAAGACTCCTCAAAACCCAATAGTTGTTTGTACAAAAATTGGCACATGTAAGGCTTGCTCCACCACCTTTCCCACCCGCCTTTTTAAATATCTTTTGATGCTGAAGTAAGAACATCATTTCTTTCCCAAAGTAACTTCCTATCTTCAGAGGGGACACAAATCCCTGAAGACAGATCCTTGCAGGCAGGCAGCAAAGTGCTTGAAAGATGATTGCTGTGCTTATGTTCTTTACCAAAGCTAATCCTTGTGCTCTGTGTAAATGCTAAGACTTCTATGTTACGGTTAGCCAGCCTGGGAATGAAATACACTAGTGCTAGCATGCCTTCAAAGTTTTATTCATCCAGAAAGCCAGAACAAAGGACATGTATGAAGGACTATGAAGCAAGGGAAAAAACCCTTGCCTCTTCTTGCCACCCTCAGACAAGGACAAAAATTTTAGCATTGAATGTTTTGTTTAAACTTCAAGGAGCATCATGACTACAGAATCATTGCTATTGTCTGCCTTTGTAGTTGGTATCATGGACTTAAGTAATTTCTAAATAAATCCAAGAGACAGATGAGCTATCGGATGGCACTGGAAGTTTGGATCAACAAATCTCTGAAAACTATGTGTAAATTCCACCTTTAAGGAACTACAAAGTAACTCAGTTATTTTAAGCTTTCTTTTACAAGTAAATTCCTAGGCTGTTGATTGTCTGAATTGCAGCAATATTCTCCTTCCTTACTATAATACAACTGTCTCATTAGGAAACTGTTTATAGTCCCCAGTAAAACTAAAGGAAAATCAAAAGTTACGTGGTATGTTTTCAGTCTTGTAGCACTTATAGCTCTCATCTACTTTATATACAACAGTATATGGCTTATCTCAATTTCCTGGGAAATAATTTTAGACTTCCTTTAGAAATCTAACTGAGTTTAGATTTACATTTTCTTACAGGAATTGTGTTAATAATGGAAGTATTTTTTTTCATACTGCAGCAGTAGTAATTTGGTTGTGTTTTGTATTTGAAAATAAAGCTTTTCCTCCAGCATACCCTACACCAGGTATCAGGTGAAACCCAAGTCTGCATACATTTGTGACCAAAACAAGTTTATTGTTCAGCAGAAAAAACTATAATAGAGTTCAAAAGGGAAGTCTGCCTGTGCTGTTACAGCTGTTTACTTGAAACCAGCTTTAAAAGACTTATACTGGCATGGACCTTTGTTTAAATAAACTTTCACTTTTGGTATTTATTTGTTTGAGTAATTATACTTAAATCTGTTTTGCTTAAAGCATGCTCATCTGTGTAAAGATACAAAGTTCATTTAATGCTTTGCATTAATTCCAGAGATGTATTAATTATCTCTTAAAATTACTTTGCTATGTTCATTGCCAACTTTAACTCTCTGATCTCCAACTACAAATGAAATACTTACCCCCAGGTACAGACTGACACTTAAGTCTGAGCAATATTCTTTATTAAAGCAGAAAGTACCTCAACCGAATGCAACATAAAATTCACCTTGTATTCAAAAGCTTTACACTGTAAAGCCTAAAAAGATTGTTCAGTTAGGACTGTGCTCCATTCTGCATGTAAAAAATCAGTTTAATAGAACCAAACTACAATCAGTTATGCTGAAAAAGCTTTTTTCTTTTTGCGAGGTGGTTTCTTTATCTTATTGGGATTTGGGACAAGTTTCTTGATTTTCAAAGGCTGCAAAATTACATTTGAAAGATCAGGCTGATTGCTTTCTGTACGCTTCCGCTTCTGGCTTGTGAGCTCATCCCCCAGTGCCTCTGCAAGCTCGTCAGGTTCCTCATTTTCTGAAGAATCTGTATCTGCGTAAGCCACAGATTCTTCACTTCTGTACTGAAACCACGGCACTTCCAGTGCTGGTATCTTTGGAATTATTGCTTCTATTGTTTCAGTAAATTTATCAGACTGCTTTTTGAAGCCTAGTGCTAAAATGGACGTTAAGCCAAGAAGTGGCGCGACTGTTTCACTGAGCCGGGGCACTTGGCCTGCGGGTGTGGCTCGACTTGCGCTCAGCTCAATGAGATGCGATGTGATCATGGCAGGCTTTGCAGACTTGCACACCAGCAAGAGAAGCAGTTCATTTCTTTCCAATGCTTTTGTAACTTCATTAACTCCAATAGCAAGCTGTCTTCTGATACTTATGTCAGTCCACCCTGGTTTTTGCTGATGGCTTTCTGTTTCCTCCTCTTTAGGGAGTTCGTTGGTGCTAGCATCGCACTTTCTTTCCATTTGTTTTTTTGTAAGGGAACGTTTTTTCTTTCTTGGACTCTCAATCTTTTTAAGTCCAACATGTTTAATCCTTTCTTCTAAGGTCTGTAGTATAAAATGCATATCTTTTCCATCTATGGTTTTCCACTGAAAAACAAAGGGGTTATCTAGACATGTTTTTACAGTGATTTTCTTTGCTTTACGAAGTGTTGCCGTCCCTTGCTGAATTACAGACATCCTGAGGTTCTTCTGTGTTTTGTCACCCTAGGGAAGAAAGAAACATTAGTCAAAGTACTGTACTGTTTGCTGGGAACATCACTGCCACAAGCTTCTTTTGGGAATGCAGAAAAGAAATGTCAAATATCCTATGTCAAAGTGATATTGGCAGCTATCACCTTCTTCATAGTGCTCAGTGCTAATCCTTCACACATCTTCCGGAAGGCAGATGCTGTGTTGCTTTTTTTTGTTTATAAATAATAAAAAAACTAGACTGGACAGCAAGGCAACAGCAGTGATGAAACCCTTCAGAAGCTGAACAAAAGCAGCTGGAGGTATTACAGATGTAAAAAACAAACAAAAAACCACAATCAAACAACCCCACCCCCAGAGTCATGGGTTGAAAGACCACTACATTTTTGCTGTTGCACAGCTGCATTGTCCCCCATGCATGTGAGGAAAACAAAAAAAGCTGAATCACAACATGACACAAGCTCCAAGTCCCTAAATTTATTTAAGATTTTTAGAAATTTGTCTTTTCAGTCTTTACTCCATGCCTTTGTGTTTTTCTGCATTTGGAAGGCATGATAGAGATTTGCCTCAGACTCTTATTAATTTTTGCTGTGAACCCTATGAAATGCCCTGGGCCACCCCAGCAAAGGCCCATCCAGCCCTGCTGTGTCTCCAGCAGCAGGAACTAGAGAAACTGTTAGGGAAGGACAGGCTGCCATTCTCCTCAGCTCCCAAACACACAGAATGGTTGCATCTGGGATGTAAGAAGATCTGACAGCTTACCCTGTTAGTCCTTTATGGAGCCATCATTCATGCAGTTATCTAATCCCTTTTGCTAACCATCATAGTGGCAACAACCAAAAAGTGGAAACAACTAAAGAATGGAAACGACCACTAGAAACCTAAAATGCGACCGAGTTAGAAATGGAAGCTTATGACAACTTAAAAAAATTAGCTCTAGGTTATATCTTCTAAAAGCTTTTAACTGGGGATGCTCTGATGACTTTTTACAGGGGATATCAAGCAAAGTTAGCAACAGACTCGTGTATGAGAAAGAAGCAAAACGAGGGATTTCCCAGCTGAAAGATTACAGTTTTCTTTCCAAAATGGGTACTGCTGAGGAAAACAAGCGTGCAGGGATAAGATAAAAACTACAAACACCGGGCTTCTCCACCTCGCGC